GATTCCTGCAGAATGCGGCGGGAAAAGTGCTTCTTTTCCTGCAGAAGACTTTCACTTCCCGCGTGAAAATGTTTCATTTTTCCCCCAGGAACTTGCGGAATCACGCTCGTTTTTTTTCACTGGGTATGATATATTTTGTATAAGTATATTTTTTAGATATAGTTTTTCACGTAGAATAAGAATAAAAATGATTCAAAATTACCAAAAGCAGACATTCAGCTCGTTTTCTAAAAAATAAGCCGTTTTTCAGGTTTTAAGAAATATGCGTTTTTTCAAATTTTCTATCTTAAAAGCGTTTTTTTGGAAGGTTAAGTCACACATATTCTGATACAGCTCCATGAGTTTTACCCAATTATGTATAAATATCGCAAAATAAAAAGCGCTCGACTTTTGAATTAGTGGCAGCTTACCTATATAAGTAAATTCCGGTTAGCGAAACGATAATTAATACATCATCAAAACCTTAAATTTAAAAAAAAGTTTACGATAACATTAAAACATAGAAAATAAGAATATGTACGTGTAGTTGTTCGGCGATATTGCAATTTTCTAATTTTGATCAATGCTACTGTTGTTGCAATCAATGACATTAAAAGTAGCCATAGATTAACTACAACATTAATTTAAACTTAATATACTCTCAACTATCAATTATCGAAAACGTTTCGAAAAGCAAAGCTTACCTATTTCGATGATAGCTATACTGTAATTAATTTTTTCACTGACCATAGAACTACGTGATGATTCATCATGTGATAGATGTTGTAGTGCATTATGTTCTTTACGCAAGTCGCCAGCTGATAGTGAATGGTGTGAATCAATACCGCTTTTATTTCGAAAACCGGCATATAAAATAATACTGGTAACACTGCATGAAAATATAATCATTCCGCTAAATAATCCTTTTATTGATGCGTGACAATTAACCATAAATACATTCTTTGTTGATGCTTTATCAGACATTTTGTAGGCAAATGTTTTACCTACATTTTCCCAAATTAGGAAAAATAACTAGAACAAAACAAAAGGAGTGAAGATGAATTTATCTATTAAAGATAAACGTAATTCTTAGATTTACTCACTGTTAAGCACATGAGACTAAATTCTATGGTACAAGGATATAACAGCGGTTTCAATTTTAAATACTCGTAGCTGATAAATGCTGTTGAATGATTACCAGTGTGCATGTCTAAATCGGTATGTTCTAGTGAGAGATAAGGTGAAACATTTTTGATGGAAATATAATCAACAGTTTTTAACGTCACTTTAACAAGTGATCATAAATCTTTGTTTTACGTCATACTTCATCTCATTGTTGAAAAATTACTGACCATCATAATGCCCGCTATAGGGTGATTTCGTTTCATGAATTTGTGACTTTGTTTCAACTACCACCATACGAAACCTAAAAATAGAACAATAATCCTAATACCATTTCAAAACAAAAAAGAATCATTAAAAAGGTTAATTACACTAAAGTGATAAATGAACACCCCTAGACAAAACGTTTTTGGAAATTCTTATAGAAATCTTATCCAAATCTTATAATAATCTTATATAGGAAAACGCTCGAAAGTGCCACGAATTTCGTAAGAGTCTTATAAGACGACGTGTAAGAACTTCGCAAGAAAGTGATAAAACTTTTCACGTTATTCTTATTTATCTTGATGTGTAGTAATGAGTGTAATAACTTGCTATCCGATGGCGACTCATGTGAGCACTATACAAAAGGTTCTTTTATGATAGCTCCTAGTGCTTTAGCAGAATAGGTATGTAAAGTATTTTGATGCATATTACTAGTACTCGAGCTGCTCTATCTTCTACCACTTAGAGAGTCTAGATTGAATGCCACCTTTATAGAGGAAAAAAGATCGAAAGCTTCGTATTTTGCTTATGATCAGTTTGAAAAGGCGGGATTTATGCAGACATGCGAGATATCGTGCTCTCTATTTTCTTCGTATGTCATTTAATTTTTTCGAACTTTATTCTTGTTGTGCAGTGAGGAGTACCGCCAGTCTACAGGCAGTAGAGGCTTAGAACGAGTCGTGAAGCTACCCTTCTAGAACTAAGGTGTCAGCATAGAAAAATGAAAACACTTGTTCTCCTCTTACGTCAACATGTGGAGCAGCTTTTCCAGATAAGACGTTCATAAGAAATACATAAGAATAACACCAGAATTCTTAGCAGTTTCTTATGAAGTTCTTACGAATCTCATAGCAAATTTTTATAGGACTTACGAAATTCGTGGCACTTTAGAGCGTTTTCTTATATACTAGGTTAGGTTCAACCTGCAGGGCTCTGCTCGACAGTCAATGTCTCGCTTTTCATTTCCCAGTTACAATATATATCCTTTTCGGGCTATGAGACCGGACTGAAATGAAGTTTATAGTGTTCGTTAACATGTTTGTATGAACTGTTTTTTATGCTTTTTTCAATGAAAAAACAAAGCAGGAAAATCGGATAAATTCTTGCTTTACAGCATGCTCGAACATTTGTACGGATACTTTTTCATCGTAAGATATCTCATGTGCTTTTAAGAACTTATTACCAAGATATCTGTCTGTTCATGCATCCGTGTAGAAGAGAGCGACTGAGAAAATCCGTCTACAATCTGAAACTTTTTAGTAGAAACTTCAACTAGTTTTCATTTCTTTGCAATTTTAGTGATCAATGGTTACAAAAAAACAATATGCATCTATAATTATTTAACTCGTGCTTACCACACACATAGATTTGTGACAACAATGTGAATAACCGCCACTCGTGCAAAACTTTCATGAGCTCGAATAATTAACTGAAATGAGAAAATATTTTCTTTACAAAGTTTAGCAAATTTTGTTTGAAACCAATTATCTTCTCGAAATCGTATCTTGAAGCGTAACCGTTTAAATACTATTCGGTTAGCTCGTCAAACACAGTAGATATTAAACGCTTACATTTGAATGTTTGAAAATAAAGAAGAATTGTATAAATGAAAATAATAAACGAGAAAAATCATCCATGACAGTTGTCCATCTTCTGCGTTCAATGCTTTCTAAATTGCTGAGAATTGATAAACCACTGTGAATAACTGTACCAAAACAAAAAACTAGAAAGAGATTCATACAGATATATATGGTAACTTATTTATATAAGAGGGAAGTATCGAATTGAAACTAGAAACGAATTTGTCTAACTTATGGCTTCAGTAATGCCAGTGCGTCGTGAACCGATTTTCACGAAAATGAGGGGTTTTATAGATAAGGATCTTAGGTATAATAATCTAAAAATTACAGTACTCCGAAAAAGTAGCGGGTCCCTGTAACTCAAGAATCAGGCTAGCAACGGACTTCTAATTTTGTGCGGTTATAGCTCTTACCGAGTGCTGATCACCCATCAAGTTTGGGCCTCTTTTACTAGGTGTATCTAAGCGTTTTACTTCTTTTCCGTAAAATGCTAATAACACCTGATCTAAGAGAGATGAACACTTTTTCTGTTCACCAAAATGTAGTCCTGATCCTCCTCTATCTAAGATATGAATTTAGAGTGATAGCTCTTAATGATTATTGAAAGACAGCTATTTTACGATCGAGGTCTGTGGAAATGAGGTTCTGAGATATGATGTCTTTCCTAGAAACATTCATAATTCATTCTAGGAACGTCAATTCGACTTCAAACTCACAGCAAAATATTCTTCGACGACTGTAGACTATCCAGTCAAAATATGAAGGTTAACTATTGTGTGGTTCTGGAAATTCATTGAGAACGAGATCTCATAATTGAAACATATGTAGCAGAGCGCGGGTGAAGAACTAAGGGTCGGTCTTTCTACTATAGAATCTGTATTCAATGTACATCATAATTACGAAAAAATAATCATAGAAACATATGGTTCCGAAAAACGTAGATGGAACGTTTGTCGGAAAGATTGTATACTTACCATTATCTTAGAGAGAAAAGTTTCAGTGAAATTTTTTTGTTCTAAAACCAAATGTTAAGTAAGTAACTAAAAAGTAAGTAAGTAAAAGTAAGTTCTCAGTTTTGTTCGCTGATCTCAAATATGTTATTAGTTTTGCTTGAAAATATAAGAGAAGTGAAAAGGGCGCAAAATAAATGAAATGGCAAAGGTCAGAGGTGAGTGTACAATCTTTCTGACAAACGCTCCACCTACGTTTTTCGGAACCATAGGTTTCTATGATTATTTTTTCGTAATTATGATGTAC